GAGGAGAGTAATTGTATAGATCAGTCTCCGTACTTTTCTCGAACACACTGTTAAAACAATAATTAAGCCTCTCCACCTGTTATACCGTGAACAAATTCTTCTTCTCAGAAAACTGTGCCTTTCAAGCAGCTCAAAGTACCACCCAGATGAGGATAGGAGTAGGACACACCTCTCCTCTTTCCAAGGCTTCTTTTTCCTGACTCCTTTTGTCTATTTTATTTTCCTTCCCTTTCTGCCTCTTCTTATCCCTATCTCCTTCTTCCCCATCATTTCTCTTCTGGAGAGAGCTATTTCTTGACCCTGGAAGATGATTTTTGCTGGGCTGTCTTTGAGCCATATTGGGATGCAGTGCCTCATTCTATGTGTTTTGAGCCAAGTGGAATTTCAGGTCAGCTCTGGAGGATGAAAAAGAAGATGCACATGAGGAGGAGAGACCGTCACCAGTGCCAAGAGCAGCATCATTACTTTCACCTGCCCAAGCCAAGGCTGGGCCCGGAGGATGGACACCAATCCACCAGCTGATATTTATTGAACACCTGCTGCATGTGCAGCCTTCAACTAGGTCCTGGGGAGGCACCATTTCTGCCCTTGGGGACCTGATGAGATTAGTTGTTGTAAAACTAAGGCACCTCCCACAATACCAGGTATGGATTAAGCACCTAGTAAAGATCAGTGGATTAATTCTTAAACACCTCTTCAATATTAGTTTCAGAGGTCTTAAAAGACCCATGGGAGGTGGGAAAGAAAATTAGTTTAACGTTCACCTCTGGATCATCTGTTATCTCACTAGAAAACAGAATATTTATTTTTTTTCCAGTAAATTTACATATTTTCCTTAAGAAGTCAGTTTCCTAATTTCCAAACTGGGGATAATAAAAGTACCAAACTCTGGGTGAAATACTTAAAACAGTGCCAAACATGTTGTTATGTTCTATTACTATCATAATTGCTGTTATTGGTTTCAAATCCATTGGCATCCTAGAATTTTTGTCCCCAATTCCAGGTAGCTCAGCAATTCTTTTACAACATCACACTTCACCTAATGATATCAGAGGACAGAAGTGCAACTGAGAGAGTTGGACACAAGGCGTCCAGGAGATAATCCTTCAGGAATGCAGCAAAAGAAGATTCAGCAGCTTTGTTTTACTTTTTTGGAAGCAAGTGTTTTCACACCAGGCCCTTTTTTTAAATGAAGTTTTCTGTGTACTGCATGTGAAGTTTCATATCTTTTCTTTAACTTGCAAACTGATCATTTCCCAGAAGCTAGACTACTGTCACATTTTATTTAAAAAAACATTTCTGCGAGGAAAGCACTAAGTTGAATCTTGCATTTTTCCTTTATCACATGTAGATCCTTTTCAAGATCAGATGTTCCTGATACAGGTAACAAGGTCATTGAAGGGGAAGGAAAGAGCAGAGTGAGGAAGAGAAACCGGTACACATGATAAGATAATTTTGTATCATGGGAATGTTGTCCCACTTGCTGCAAGTCTGTTCTGAATATCAGCCTGGATTTCTCTACAGTCCAATGTCTCCCAGGGTGCTGGAAACACACCGGGTGTCTAATGACCATCGCAAAGCTCTTTTCTAGACCTTAAAGAAACTTCCTAACTTTGATTTTATTACTTCCCTCTGGCCCATCTTTGAATGCGGATACTCCCTTTCAATGAGATAACTCTTCAGTGGTTGGAAGGCGACATAACATGGCCAAGAGCCTAGTCTTTGGAGACAGACTTCCTACCCCAGAGCCTGAATCTCACAAGCTTGTAACTAGTATAACTGGGTAACTTAGTGAGCACCCTGTGCCTCAGTGGTCTCATCTATGAAATGGGGGTAATAAGAGTTCCTTTCTGACTGGGATGAATATATATACAGAGTGCTTAGAGCAGTGTCTGGCACTTAGAAGTCCTGGAGAAGCATTTGCTTGTGTTATTGCGCTAGCTATAGAGACTTTTACCATGTGCCAGGCACTCTGATAACTGCTTTATCTCAAATATGTCATTTTGCCCTTATTTCCGTCTGGTCCTCATTGCATCATTTCTACTTGGAGTATTGCATGAGCTATTTTGTCTTCCTCTCAGCACTTCTCAGAGCCTGAGGTCATTTATGTTATTTCTTTGCATGTTTATTGTATCTTCCCCAAACACTGGGAGGGAAGCTTATTGTGGGCAGAAGTACTGTCTGTCTTGTTCATCATGTTATTCCTGGCACCCAGGACAGCCTGGTGTGCTGTAGGCATTCATAAATATTGTTCGACGTGGTTCTCTTGTTTTGCAGAATTATCCTGAATATCTTGACCATTTTATCAGGTGACTTGGTTTCTAGATTTTTCTCCAGCCTTATTAACCTTATTCCTCTTAAAGAGGGGTACCAAGCATTAGAGGAATGCAAATTGAAACCACAGTGAGATATCATCTCATGCCAGTTAGAATGGCGATTATCAAAAAGTCAGGAAACAACAGATGCTGGTGAGGCTGTGGAGAAATAGGGACGCTTTTACACTGTTGGTGGGAGTGTAAATTAGTTCAACCATTGTGGAAGACAGTGTGGCAATTCCTCAAGGATCTAGAACTGGAAATACCATTTGACCCAGCAATCCCATTACTGGGTATATACCCAAAGGATTCTAAATCAGTCTACTATAAAGGCACATGTACACATATGTTTATTGCAGACCTATTTACAGTAGCAAAGACTTGGAGCCAACCTAAATGCCCATTAATGATAGACAGGATAAAGAAAATGTGGCACATATACACCATGGAATACTATGCAGCCATAAAAAAGAATGAGTTCATATCCTTTGCAGGGACATGGTTGAAGCTGGAAGCCATCATTCTCAGCAAACTAACACAAGAACAGAAAACCAAACACTGCATATTCTCACTCATAAGTGGGAGTTGAACAATGAGAACACATGGACACAGGGAGGAGACATCACACACTGAGGTCTGTCGGGGTGGGAGCAAGGGGAGGGAGAGCATTAGGACAAATACTTCATGCATGTGGGGCTTAAAACCTAGATGACGGGTTGACAGGTGCAGCAAACCACCATCGCCCATATATACCTATGCAACAAACCTGCACGTTCTGCACATGTATCCCAGAACGTAAAGTAAAACTAAAAAAAAAACAAAACAAAACAAAAAATGGGGTGCCAAGAACTGTGTGCAATATGATAGATGTGATCTTGTCTCCTCAGAAGGATACGTTCCTTCACAGGATAACGGAACTTTCTCTTGTTTTCTCGGGGTAAGGTCTCGATGGCTTTTGTATTGCTGTTTCAGTCAGGTACCGCTTATTAGCTACTGGCCAACTTAGACTTTAGGAAGCTAGATTTTCTTGCTTGATTACAGTTGACCATGTAGGACTTTATTTTTATTCTTGTTAAATTAAGTTTTCTTGGCTGTGTGCCTAAGTTTCTGTTTGTCAAGATGTCTTGGAATTTTCATTCTGACATCTGTTGTATGAGGTCTTTCTCTTAACTTCACTCATCCATACCTAGTTAAGGCTGTGTGATTTTTGCACCTTCCTCCATGGAACTGGCAAACATGTGGATTTGGATAGAGTCTGTGGCACCCAATTCAGACCTCCCATATTGACATTCATCAAAAAAAATTACCATAATTACCTACAATAGTAATAGCTAGTGTTAATTAAGTACTTAGCATGTGTGAGTTTTTGTTCTAAGAATTTCAAATGAATTAGCTCATTTAATTCCTACAACAACTCTATAAGGTAGCTACCAATATTATCCCATATATTCACGGGAAAACTCAATAACTAATAATATGAGGGAAATAAAACAATTTACCCAAGACACTTAGGCAGAGTTGGAACTAAGTAAGTGGAAAATTTGAACCTGTGTTTTTCACTGCAACACAACTGGGCTATGATCGCTCTTGTAGATACTGACTCATTAGTCAATACTTCCTGCTTACGGTGATTTTTAACTATTAGTAATTCACCTATGAGTAACAGCTTATTCTCAAAGAAGCCAGGGAGCATTTTATCCAATGTTGTGACCAAGTTAAGATTTACTTGTTTATGGCATTTCCCTGATATTGTTTATGGGCAATAATTGAAGGGACAAAAATATGTTCCCCAAACTGGAAGCTGGTTTATTGTGGACTTGCAACTACTTGCCAGATGAGGCAGAGGTAAACTTCTTTGTCCCAGAGGGATCATGTTTTGCGTCTTGATTTTGTGAATGACACAGGAACGATGGCTTTAAATGCTCCCACTTAAAAGCTTATGTTGAGGATCAAAAGTATCCCAAAATGCCATGGGGCATTGGGACTAGTCCAACAGCCTTTGCACATTTATATTCCAGTCCACATGGGTGAGAATGACCAGTTTCATAGCCTCAAAGTCATGTAAGGGCCTGTGATATTTACCATGCCCAACCTCAAGTTGCTTATTCAGATCGTGAGTGCTGGAAAGAGTAAAAAAGTCAGTGGGGACCAATAAAATAGTAGCTGCCTATGGGCCCGGGGTTGGAACCCTTGCACATTCAGATGGCAGGGTGTTGCTAAAGTAAGTGACCGATAAAATTGTCCTTTCCATCAGAGATCCCTTTGCCTTTTCTGTATAGCTGAGAGCCAAAGGTAAAGAGTTGAAGCTCATCAGAGGTGGCTAAAGCAATGGTTCCCAGAGTGTAGCCGGAATGACGATTTTTAAGTGGCACACAGGTGAATATATACATTTTAATTTTAAGTTATGTAGAAAAAATGTAACCAGTTTATGAAACAAATTATCTCATGGTTATTATCACTTAGGATTAGGCAAAGTAAAAAATGTGAGTCAATTTGAATTTCATTTAAAGAAAGATATTCAGTAAATAACAATATATAGGTAGTTTGCAGATTAGCAACGATTGCGAAAGGGAGATGTAAATGAATACAGTTTGGAGACTATTGGGCTAATGCAATGTTAATTAAAAATGTAATGTTATATATGTAAATGATACTAAAAGTTTTTCATGCTGATTATATTTTCAGAGCTCAAATTCAACATGTAGTCAGAGTGGATACAGTCATTCATTGGAGGAAGAAGGGTTAATGAATAGAAGAAAAGCAGTGACAATGGTACATCCTAGAGAGACAACACTCCCTGGTAGCATGGTGGGTTGGATCTATGAATAAAACACAAACACAGGAATAATTAATCTCTACTGATCAAATAATCCCATGTTTTTGTCTTTTAGTGTGACATTAACCCTCTCACTCCCAACTTCTATTTATTAATTATAAAATAATTCTTATTTTTCTGTAACAAATAAAAAACATGTCAGTTGAGACAGCCTTGACTATCTGAAGTACATTTTTAGCAGTGGTACTGTATCAGCTAGCTCTTGCTGTGTAACAAACCACCTCAAGATGTAGTGGTTAAAATAGCAACCACTTATGTATCTCATGATTCTATAGTTCTGCAATTTGGGCTTGTCTCATCTGGGTTCATGTATGCTTTTGCAGTGAGCCGATGGTTAGCTAGGCAGTTTTTTATTGAGGGGCTTGGCAGGCTGTCACCTGGGCTAATGAGGGTAGCTGAGCTACATGTCTCTTATTATCTAGCAGGCTAGCATGGGCTTGTTCTACCAGCAAGGGTAGGATACTAAGAGAGAGAGAGAGCATGGAAGAGTGCAAGACCTTTTGAGCCTCAGAACTGGCAACAATACTGCTCTGACACACTAGATGGGTCAAAGCAAGTCCCAAGGCCAGCTCAGATGCAAGGGGAAAGAGACTCTGCCCTGGGAGGAGAGGAACTGCACAGTTACATGATAAAGGGGACTTGCTCCAAGGGAAGGAAACATTATGACCCTTTTTATTTTTGTACTTTTGCAATTTGTTACAACCAGTTGGCAAATATGTCACCTTGGACAAGTCTCTTCACTTTTGCAGGTCTTGGTGTTCTTGTATGTAAAAAGGAGATAATATACTAGTCCCTCAGCTCTCACAGTTGCAACCATGCCATGTAAATCAAACTAGTCACAGATTACTCTACAGAACAGAACTTAACTCATAAAGAGATGTGAAGAGTCAGTAAGACAATGAATGCACACTGCTTAGTCCTGGCACAAAGAAAGATCCCATAAACAGCAATGGCTCTTTTGTTATTAACAACAACAAAAAAAATTGAAGATAAGCTGTAGGTGAAGAATACGGAATAGGTTATGATTAAAAAAGAAACAAAAACAAAAGACAAAACAAACCTATTATAGTGATATATGAGTTCACCCAAAAATCTACAACTGCTTTGCTATAAAATGTATTTGTTCATCACCAGTTGATGGTTTTTGAAATCAATTATTTTTATTGTCTAACAAAGGGCACTTTGTTGAGTGCTTCATTATCTGCAGAAATGCTTTAGCATTCGCACCAAAGCTCAGCACTCAAATGCTGGCACTGGCAGTACCTCTTAGTGATAATTTTCAAGTTAAGTATTATGCATCAGGTAAATGATTGTGCATATAAATGGTCATTTTAGATTGTGCATTAGCAGGTAGAAATGGACAATCTCTTTCAATAAATATTCGACTTATTTTTTCCCTACAGTTAACTGCTTCAAGTAAGAGTGCAGATCATGCTGTGATGTTGTACAAGAAATCAGATTAAAAAAAATAAATAAAGGTCTTCAGACTGTTAGCTCTTCCAAGAAAAGGCTCGGTACTGTTTCCTTTTTTTCTGCTGTACAGCCCCATGTATGTTTATGATGTCATTTGAGTAATGCTAATAAAAAACACCAATCGCCATATGCCATTTAGAACCTGTGGCTTTTCCTCATGACAGGCATTGTTTTAAAGTCCAGACACCTAGATATAATGATAGCCTGTATCTCCCTCTAACAAAAGTGCTGTGCTGTTTCCTTCGTTAGGTTCCGGAAGGCATTGATTCAATTTTACTTAAATCTCAGTGAGTTGCAAACAGTAGGTTAAAATGAAGAATGAATGAATAGAATTTATGGGGGAATAGTTGCATTTCATTTATACATTAGGCTCAAAGGCCATCTTTTAACTCAAATCTTTTCACCAAGGTTGTTTACAGACGTGCTGTTTTCCTGCAGTGGCGATTTAAGCATGCTGTTGGCAGGAGTAGAGTACTGTAAGATAACAAATTTATGACATACAGAGAATCCAATTCCCTCACAAGGTAACCTTCAAAATTGAAGATGATTTCCCAGAAACAGAATCTGCATCATTCCACACAAGCAGTGGCTCACTCATTCCATAGTTCTATCCTAAGACTTCTCATATGCAATTAAAATGGCCACTTTTCCTGTTGGTCCCTTTCTTCAGAAGGTAGATTCCTTGAAGACAGAGCAGCTGTATCTTATCACTTGTAGGCCTGCCAGCTCTTATCGAATGATTGGTACCTATCTATCTACTAGGCACTAAGAAGTCCAAGATTCTTTGATGGACTAAAGACGCTGCCCAAGCCCTGCCCTCAAAGAACTTACCGGCTGGTGTTGAGACAGCAGAGAATTGTAAAGGTTGAGTTTCAAAAAAGATGAGAACCTTTAATGGATTTCTGTGCAGAGTGTGTAAAACAGGGCAAACTGGTGTCATGCTGGTGGTTTGAGGTTTGTGCCTGCACCCCCACTTGTTGACCTTTCTGTTTAGGCTCTGCCTCCTTGTCCCCAGTCCGACCTCCCATGTGACTGTCTGAGCTGGTATTATTATTATTATTATTATTATTATTATTATTATTATTCTGGGGTTATGCTTTTCTGTGGGAGTTGTAAGTGAGGAATATTATGAGACTCTGGCTAAGAAGCGATAGCTCTTCCCCATGTCCCATGCCTGGCACAAGGCTTTTCACACTCCAGGGCTCCAGGAAACATATTTTTCAATGAATAGCTTCTATCTTCTGTTTCTGGCTGTTTTTTAGTTCCTTACTATCCCTCTCTATTGTCATTTTCACGGCCCTCTTCTGCCTTTGAAGATCTCCTGGCTCTCCTTTACCCCACTTCACATTCCAGGATGATTCTTGTGTCACGCCCTCCATTCCTCCTCCCATTATACCTTTTTTGTTGTGTGGCAAGACTATGGGTCAGCATGGAGGGTCAACAAGTAAAAGCCATGTAATGAATCAGTTGAGGTATGTTGCAAAATGAAAAATAAAACACCCCACAAGCTAAAAAGGAAATTCTCTTCGGGGGCAGCACTGTTCTAAATGCTGGAGACAAAGCAGTGAATGATAGCAACTGAGTTATAGAATGCTAGAGCCAGAGGAAGAGATCTTTATGCAACACGAGTTTATTGCATATCCTCAGAATGCCAGGAGCTGTAGTAGGTCCTGGGGATTTAACCATACTCTGGTCTAAAGGCTCTGACAAGTGGCTCTTTCTGGGAGAGAGGTAACCCAGCCCAGTGATCCTTGAGACTTGAGATGGCTAGAATGAAGATTAAGTCCTTGTTATTCATTGTGTTTCTACTTGGAATCCCCAGAGGGTTTGCACTTGAGGATGGGTCAGTTGACTCTGTGCTCAGGGCTGCTAAGCTTCCAAAGGGCCTGTGAGGTGAGAGGATGCCATGTGCTGCCCGTGGGAATGGTCATGATAGCCCTAGAGAAATAAACGAGATTCTGGAGGATTTCACGTTCTTTTCTGATTAGTAAAGCTAAGAGTGGGATTAAGATATTTTTAAAAAATATTTTATTATTTGTGGTTACCTTGGAGCTATCAGCTATGTACAAAATAAAAAAAGAAGCAACAAAAGGATAAACAACAAAAAAATCGACTGGGCGCAGTGGCTCACGCCTATAATCCCAGCACTTTGGGAGGCCAAGGCGGGCAGATCACCTGAGGTCAGGAGTTTGAGACCAGCCTGGTCATCGTGGCAAAACCCCATCTCTACTAAAAACACAGAAAAAAATAGCTGGGTGTGGTGGTAGGCGCCTGTAATCCCAGCTACTTGGGAGGCCGAGGCAGGAGAATCACTTGAACCCGGGAGTCAGAGGTTGCAGTGAGCCGGGATTGCGCCACTGCACTCCAGCCTGGGCGACAGAGTGGGACTCTGTCTCAAACAAAACAACAAAACGAAACAAAATAAAACAAAACACCCACGAGAAATCAGTGTAAACTCAACGGTTGTTATCACAAAATGGGATCATCTCTTTATCACTGGTAACAGGATGGGCCTTCATGCCTCCCAGGGCGGCATTCCATTTTCTCCAGTAAATAATACGAGGTTTCCCCCATAATTACCTGATAGACTGGAATAGCTCCTTGGGGTCCCTTTTAGTCTATTGGGTAAATGATATGTTTTCTAATGGCATTCTTACCCAACAGTGAAGCTCGTGAACTAATGATATATATAGCGAGGCCTCTGTAGGGGACTGTGTGGAGGCAGTAGTTACTTTTATAAAGTTATGCACTAGGCCCCAAGCTACAAGATTCCTGGGAGACAACATTTGTATTTAGTATTACCAGATAAAATAAACACTTTGCGAGAGCATTCTTAGGGCATTTTCACAGGATATCTAAAGAGGCCCTGCGTTGGGCAGGGCACCATTTCCAGCCAGTGACATTCCATTGGAAATGCAGCTGCTCTTTGTTGCTGTGAAAGACATGTTCAAATTAGTCTGGGACATTCCCATGACTAGTCTCACATGGCTGCCTGGATCATCGGCTGTGGAGCTGTTGATAGAGGAGTGATTTAGATGACAAAGGCAACCATGAGATCATGGAAAAATGCCCCGAGCAGCAGTACTAAGACATGGGTTGGAACCCAGCTCTGACATTTAGGGATAAGTCACTTACCTCGCTGAGCTTTAGGTCTGTCTTTCAAATGGGGACAACCATGACCACATAGCACGGGGATTGGAAGGATTAAGAGGGATGCTTCATGTGAATTACTGTGGGAAGGTTCCTAGCATGTACCAGGTCCTCAGTGAGTGCTTATTAAGAAACCAAACCTATAGTAAATCCTTTGGCCACTGAGACAAGTGTTCTGCAAACTTGCCTGCTCCCATAAATCACCTGGGATGCTTGTAAAAATACAGATGATCAGGCCTCCTAACTGACTTCTTAACTCAGATGTTTCGGAAGAGATGCCTGAGACTCATTCTTAAATCTCTGGGTGTTTAATAAGCATCTCAGGTGATTCTTGTGGTCAGGTTAGGGTGGAACACAGTGGTGATGACACAGAACCTGCAAAGGGTTTACTTGATGGCTTTCTGTCACCTAGAATGCTGAATCCGGATTGATTCTGTTATTTGTCCCATTTACAGGGCCCTTGATTTCTGCAATTAGCAATACAACTGAGCCATCATGGACAGTTACATGTTGATTCAGGTGTGAGGTGCAGATGTGTCCTGTGCCTTTATATCAAGACCATCTCAGCGTGGCTCAGCTGCCTTTCTTGGACAGACTGAATTTTTTTTTGTTGTTGTTGTTGCAACTTCAAATTCCAAGGCCCTCAAATGTATTCTAAGCTTAAAACAAATGTCAGTTGAAGAATCATGGTTCCCCAAAAAGAGAGAAATTAAAGTGACAAAGTCCACTCTAGTATCAGTGCTGGTCATCAGATGGTGTGGAGTTATCATTAAAATAGTCTCCCTGTAGTGGCAATGATGGGCGATAACTCTTCAAATGTTATGCCATTGAATCTTCATAACAACTCTGAGTTATTATTCCCATTTTACAGATGAGGAAGCTGATGCTTGGAGACTGGCTATGTAACTTGCTCAAGATTGCTGAGCTGCTATAGGGAATGGCAGAAATGTTACTAGAACTCAGTTCCAACCGTTGTGCTGTAGTATGTTCCTCACGACATATCCTAATGTTTCAGACTTTTCCAGCTGCTGGGTTCAGATGTGGTCTCATTGATAACTAATGCTCCCAGGCTCCTTGACTTCAGTTTGTCTGATTTTGTTGTTGTTGTTGTTGTCGTTGTTGCGACAGAGTCTGCTTACGTTGCCCAGGCTGGGTTCCAACTTTTGAGCTCAAGTGATTCTCCTACCTCAGTGTCCCGAGTAGCTGGAATTACAGTTGTGCACCTCCATGCCTGGCTGTAGTTCATCAGAGTTTTGACAACTTGCCTTCTCTAAATGTTTTGGAATTTTTTTTTTTTTTTTTTTTTTGTGGAGAAAGGACTTATTTGTCCAGTCCAAAACTAGCCACTGCTATTTTGCTTTCATAATGCGGATATTTCACCATTTTGAATAACAGAATCTCAGAATTAGAAGTGGCTTTAATGATCATTTAGACCAACCCTTAAACATTGTCAGAATTTCAACTCCGCACTGACACATCATTAGCCCTCTGTCTGGGTACCTCCAAGGACAGAGAGCATGCCCTGTCACAGGCTGCCTGTAACAACTTTGGAAAGCATCACAACCTGTTCACATTTACTTCCATATATGATCTTCTGTGCTCTGATGGCAAAGATTAGAGGTACTAAAAGACAATGTTCCAAAAGTAATGGTTGGTTGAATCCAGGACATAGAATCCCTGGGTTTTGGAGAAATTGTCTTCCTTGGATAAATGCCAAAGCAACTTCACATTGCAGCCAAGCAGAATGGTAAGATGGCAAAACTGAAGAGGCTTTTAGGTAGCCAAGAGGGCTGATGTAAAGGAAACACGGCGGTGTTTTTAGGATTGAAGGGAGAGAGACTAAACCAGCAAAGGTAAAGTGCTGTGTTTGCATTTTATTGATTTCTTACCTATTGATTTCAATGGATGAACTGTCTGCCTGAGAGAAAAGAGACTGACAGTGAAGGCGAAACCCAGGCCCTTCAAGGGAGGGAGGGAAT